AACGATAATCGGTATTCGGGCGCGGGGGCCATGCAAATGCAGTCCCGCGGCCCGCGCCACGCGTCCGCCTCCGAAAATCGGAAGAACACAGGACTCGAGACTACCGCCCGCGGTCGGGTCCGTAGATCCCTTGTGACGGACGGTCCAAAAAGGGACGTCCCGTCACAGTAGATACTGCGGATAGTATGTACACATTTTAATTAATATTTTGTTATTAATATAATTATAATTCGTGTATGATCATTGTTTTGTTTATCATTCACAGATTACAAAAAAGACGATCTGCAAACTGAATTACTTAGTCTAAAAGAAGAAAATCGTCGCTTGCATCGTTTAATAGATACTGCGGATAGTATGTGCATATTTTAGTTAATACTTTGTCATTAATATAAATAATATAATTCGTTTATAATCATTGTTTTGTTTATCATTCGCAGATAACAAAAAAGCGTTGAAAGAATCCAAGGACCTCCACAAAATGATTGTAAATATGAAAAAAATTGTAGAGGGAATTTTTCCCCGTTTCCCAGAAAATTGTTCCTCAGAAAAGAATTACGTAGATGAAAAATCACGTAAAGAACGCTTAACGCTTGGGGAAACTAAGGTGATATATTTATATAAAAACTGTATGAAAATGTAGACATTGCTGTGAACTTTTATGAATTTCTATTTAATATATATTATACATTTTGACCCTCATACATTTTTAAAATAGTTAATTGATATCAAGTAAAATTCAAAAATTATAGTTATTATAGTTTTCTTATTGATTAAAAGTAAATGTAAGACTATTTTTATATAAAAATCAGAATTTTATTACAATTCTATTAGTCACTTTTATTCCAATAACGCTTTTTCAAAAACATCTTTGAAAAAATATTGATTTTCTTTAGAATGGCACACTTTTTCATATATTTTATTAGAAATCTTACAGGTTTTTTTTATCAAACATCATATCAATTACAAAAATATTATTTTTTGATTAATTTATATCTTTTTTCATTTATGATTGTCCTTGTGAGTTTTCCAGTCTACAAAATTGATGTTATTTATAACAAACTAACTAGCTACTTTCCGATAAAAAGAGAAATAAAATCAGATTATAGGAAAGTGTGCAAAGTGTTCTGTATATTTGTTGGAATCTTGTACACATATGCAAGAAACATACATATATATATATTTCATTACATTATTGCATATATATATATATATATATATATATATATATATATATGTGTATGGTTTGTTACATTCTGGAACCCATCATAAGTAATGTGTACATATGTATAC